AACATATTTGGATTAGCACACAAGATACTAGGGCATAGCAAGTCATAGTCTTTCTGCCCAGGGCAGAAGAAGAGATACCACAACTGTTCATCACAGGCATGGTCAAAGAATCGACTTCAATTGTCTCTTTGACGAGTTGTTGTATGGTGCTAAGAATGGCAAAACTCACTGACGATGCCGGCGAAACGTTTGGGTATGTACCACGCTCACGGTCCGACTTTGGAAATTATCATGTATACAACGGACTCTGGACTAGGTGCGTTTCTCTAAGTCTTCCTACAAATATGACCAAGTTTCGAAAATAAGCTCTAATAACTTTAAATAAGTAGAAAAATTCAATTTTAGAAAAATCTGCAAAGAATTGTAGTCCTACCTATTAACCCTGTTAATTATATTTAAAATTATATAGCAATAGTAATATTGTACAAATACTAGTTATTAACGCATTGATCACTTGGCCTGGCAGCGTTTTAAGTTCCTTGTGTGATCCTGCGCCAATTACATCTTATGGCCCTATCCCTCGTGCTCTTTCCGGATGGTACTCGCCGATGATCAGGTCTGGATCTTACTCTTATTGCATAAAATGTTCGGTTTTAATCACATGCTTTATTTATTTGTTTATTTTATTCTAATTTAGACATTACATAGTATAGATTCAGTGAAGCCCTATCCTGTTGATCATTCGTATCAGAATTTACTTAATCAAACCGATGACCAGGATCCATCTACTTGGAATATCGTCAAGGCGACACAATTCGGAGCCTTAAGGCGGGTTGTAACCCTTGTAGAAACTGGCGACCCTGAATTATCTCTGGGGCCATATGACGTAAACCAGCTGGACAAGGAGGATGTTTCTTTGCTTCATTGGGCTGCAATAAATAACCGCTTGTCAATCATGCTTTTCTTTCTTGGAAAAGGTGCTCAGATTGACAGACGGGGGGGTAATTTGGCGGCTACACCCCTTCATTGGGCTATTCGGCAGTCTCATGTGCATGCGGTCGCGTTGCTACTAAAGCATGGAGCCGATCCAAATATACGTGACAATACGGGTTTATCGTGCATACATGCAGCTATTCAAACCTCTTGTACGCCAGTAATCGCCTACCTTCTTGCCCGTGGAGTTGACATTGACTGGTAAGTCTTCCATTTCAGATTAAACATCTCATTCTTACTTTTTCGCACTTAGCTATTGGAATTAGTCCACCATAATTGTATTAGTCTTATTTAGATTTTTATATGCTTAATTATTTTATCAACATTTTAGCCGTGATGAGCAAGGTGTGACTCCATTAATGCTTGCGTGCATGCATTGTAAAGGTACAGACCCCTTGCGTCTGCTTCTGGCATGGGGTGCAGATGTCACACTGTCTGATTCACGCGGGAACTCTGTCGCTCATTATGCTGTTAAGTTCATTAATCCAACTGCAATAGTTCAACTTGACCGTGCTGGTGTTGATTGGACCTCAATTAATAAAATCGGGCAAACTGCGTATGAAGTACGTCAAGTCCCTTGGCTGAATGATAAAATACGTCAAATGGCTTACAAAAGAGGGCAATCCAAACATCCTCGATCGAATTTGACATTGTTTGCTCGTATTTCTGCCTATTGTAAATATATATTTACACTCCGCCCGGCCGATATGTCACCATTTACCGTTTCATCCACCACAAGCTGTCGAATTATGTTTGCTGTTCCTGCAATTCTACTTTTTATTTTAGCTCTATTGCTTAATGTAAATTTAATGGAAATTT